AAAGAAAGCTCGCTGAGATGAGATAGGATGAACAAGTATAGGATAGGGTAGCAAGAATGGAATACATGTTTAACTTGAAGATTTACGTTCACTTCCACTACAAGATACATAACCAGAATATTGCATCACACCAACATGATATTACATGGTTTTTAAATACCGATTATGTGGTGAAAAAAAAAATTATTAACAAAATCATGAACAAAAAATTATTGTTAAAAAATATATCGGTGGTTTATATTTTGTCGATAATTTCATTAATAATATAATTAATGATGAATTTATAGATGAAAATAGAGCGTCAAAAAATAAATTATAGGTATCTATTTAATTTATCAGTAAATTCATCGATGATAATGACATATTACCAAAAAAAGTAAATCATTGGTAAGTCCATCAAAGACCATATGTATATTATTAATGGAATTAAACCGTCAGAGAATTACACTTAACAGTGGCAAGTTTTATAAAAAAATTTAACTCTTTAAAACTTCCCAAGAGACTTGGTTCATCAATCATTCTGTCTGTAATTATCAATGGCAAAGTCCTGTGATGTTTTCCCAGCTCTCTGAAATGATATGAGGCACTTAGTCCATTAGTAATTCTACTAGTATTTTATATTTTTTTCAATAATTTCATTGGTATAAAATGATCTTTTTCCCCTAATATTTTTACATTCTCTATCTATCTAACTTGCAAAAATAGTAAAATCACAACATAATAACATTATTTTTACTCAATAACATAACAAAAAAAATCATAATAATAAACTTTTCAATTGTGTTAACAATAGTTTATTGTAAAACAATAACAAGAAAGATTACATTAAATTCAATTCCATTACACATTGATGTTTTTCATTTATAATCAGTTTGAAATCTTTTTAATCAAAATTGTCTTGTTCTTCTTTAATTTCATCATTGTTGAGTCCATCATAATCTTCATTGAATTGAAGCTCGTTGATATTATTATCTTCATCAACTTTTGTATGTCCATTAGTTCTTAATATATCATTTAACTCTTTAATGTTAACATCAATAAAAATATTATCAGCTACATAAAAATTTGATTTTTTTTAAGTGGGTAGACAAAACAACTTGATATGCATTAACTAACTCATCAAGTTGAAAGATAATTTCTGCCACAATTACTTCATCATTGCTATCCTGAACAACTTGAACATGATCACTAAGTTTGGTTTTCACTACAGATAATCAATCAATCCTAGAATGATCTTTTCTAATAGGAGTGTATATGTAATAAACTTGTTAGTATTGTTTGACAAAAACAAAGACATCATCGATACTGCGAAGTCTAGTCTTTATATTAATTTCAATCAAATCATAATGAAGATTTACTTTCATTCCTCTATTAGTAGTATCATACCAATAACATTTGAATAAAAAAAATTCTATTATGATTGTTATAATATTATAATTCAATAATCTTTTCTAACTTTTCATAATAATCAACTTCAAACTCATTAAAAGTTGATTGCTTAACACAAACTATTATAAGTCTTTCTACCCTGACTATACTTTTTAGTATGAAAGACATTCATTGACAAAATACTTGTTATAACACTTGACTTTTCTTTGAGGATCCAAACATAATAAATTAAAATTGTCACTAGCATTCTCTCATATTTGATAAACTTATTACAAGATTACAATCATTAAGTATTATAAGAGTTAAGAATTATTAAGTACTACATATATATGTTCTGAACCATGTGGCAAATTATTTATCATGTAATTAGAAAAATTAAGATTTAGACAGATATGAATTTTTAGTAAATCTACATGAATTACTCAATCTATCAATTTATGAGAATATAAGAGAGAAATTATTTAAAATAGCATGTTAATATTATACTTATTAAATAAAAAATCTCAATTCATTATAGTTAAATAATACATAATTATGTGAATATTTGAATTTGATTTTTGTCGAGTATCTTCCTCTTACTATATTTTTTTTATAAAAATCATCCAGGATATAAAAATATTGATAAATTTAGACTTGAAGACACTTCTCCACCATCATCATATCTTGTGATGTGGTTGATTTTTTTCTTTTTAAATGAGGTTTAAAACAATACGAGATAAATGATTTATTACTAAGATAAAAAAATTGTTTAAAATGACTAGTACAACTTAATACATTCATGAACGATTATCTATTGCTCATATAAAACCTATATAAAATATTAATAACAATGTATATTAATTATTAATGTTAACTAAATAAATTATATGTACTTAGTTAATTAATTATCATTAGTTGAATTCAAAATTATTCAATCTATTCTAATCGAACCATTTAATAATTATCAATTTTCTAAAAAGAAATCAAATTCCTCTATATTTACCTAAATTTTTAATTTAACAATAAAATTGATAAAATATGAAATGTACTCATTAAAAAATCCATTATTTATTTTATAAAATACTTGAGTTACAAAATCAAACTCAATTTCATCAAATGACAAACAAAAACACTTTTTTTAAATTTCAAACAAACCCTAATATGTATAAATCATATACTCATTCAATAAATTTTTATAGAAAAAAGCTATCAAACAAGTAAACATACAAACAAGCTAAAAAACACTAACCAAAAAAATGGGTTATAACAAAAAATGAATAGATTTTCTTACTTGATATGGAAAATATTAAAAAATAAACTAGAACAAGGATACTGATAGTCTAAGTATTAGGATGGCTGAATTTATGATGATGAGAGCTTGATTTGAGATAATATTAGAGGGAATAATGTTATTTTCTAAAAGAAAAGGCAGAAATGGGGGAAGGGGAGAGGGGATCTGGAAGGTTATAACTTAAATTTTACTAACAGATTCACCGATGAATATTAGTAATGATTATAATTCATTAATAATTCTGTTTATAATACTGTTATGTCATATTTCTCAATGGAAATAATGAGGGAATACTTGCCTATTTTTTTTTCATCCTTGATTTTCAATAGCAATTCCCTTAGTGTTCATCAACAGAAAATTTTTATCAGTGAATAATAATGGAAACAACAATGTTATATTCTATTGATAAATATCACTATAATTTACTACTAATATATTTTTTTTATTAGTGTTTCCATTTGTATTTTATAATTTTCTAGTAATGATAGAAAATTTTTCCATGATGAATGTATAAATTTTTTCTAAACTCTTTATCTCCAACTAAGGATTTCATTAACTTCAAAGCAAGAAATTCAAAACTTACAGGAGTAAGCATGATCACTTAAAAAATAAATCACCACAACATGTCATTAATAACACAATGCCAAACATCTAATGGAAGATATTGATTGTTGTCCAAAATTATTAGCAAATAATGATTAAGACAAATGAATGTCTATGTTTTGTTTATAATCATGCAATTTATAATATGGTAAATTTTTTATCTTAATAAGAGCTAGCGTACTAGTAAACCTATATATAATCTTGTATAAATAATACAATGACAATTATAGAATGTATACTAATGTATAATATTAAATAAAAATCAAAATAATACTTACTTGTCAAAGTACTTTAAAATTGATCAAGCTTTATTGTTTTCAAGGATTAATCCTTAGTCTTTAATGCTTCATTGTTCCTCACTAGTTGAAATAGGATTTTTTTCAATAAACCTTCTAAAATTCTAACAACACCATTATATTTAGATACACTTCTAAACAAGGTTCAATGAACTAATGAAATTTTACTTAATAATCTCTTTATAGTGACTAAACCTAAGCTCTAGATTAGAAGAACTTTTGAGGAAAAACAAAGGTTTAAAATCATAAAATAATGTTGTAAATTAAGGTGAAGAAGAGTGTCAAATTCTCTCAAAATAATGCAGAATTAATCAGCTGCAAACCATTTTTTATCCCTTTTTTATAGAGAATTTTGCAAATCAAAGGTCAATGGAATTTCTTAACTAACAACTCTGATTACTCAAATAAAAATAAAATTAAACATGAATGCCTTTCAAATTTAAATCATGTGAGTTTTGAATTAAAAAACTTGTTTATATAACCTTGAAAGAATTATGAAAAAACTTATTAGATTCTTCCTTTCATGGACTAGGTAAACCAATATATTAGAAAAAATAATTCTAACTTCTCAACTTTCAACTTTATAAACACTAAAAAAGTTTTAATTTTTTTTATATAGGATAGAGGTTTTTTTGAGAGTTTTGAGTTTCAAAAAACATGTCAACTTTCTTTGATATTAGTTTTTCATTTACTTATAATTTGTTTAAGTTATGTTAATGTTTAGTATTAAATATTAGATTCTAAAAAAGTTTTATCTCCTTTATATATATATATATATATATATATATGCAACCACTAACAAGTTCAATAATAAAAATACCACCATTAATTATTGTGAAGGAAACATAAATCTATCACGGGTCAGAAAATTGAAAATGATACACGTTTGGTTTCCTCTTGAAAAACAAACTCCATTAGTGTGATCTTATTGCTATACGAACTCAATCAAAGAGGTAAAAAGTCATTTAGCATCACATCAATATATATATACACATGCCTCGTTCAACCTTGGAAAAGAATTAAGAGAGAAATGAACCCAGGTAGTCTATCTCAGGTAGTTTGAAATTAACGTATGTTTAGTTGAGTATAATCAAGGTAAAATTGAGTCGGGCTGATAAAATGAGCATGGAATTTTGAATTATTTAAAAATAAAAAAGAAGGAAACATCTCTAATTGCAGCAAAATTTTGAAGCTTGATATATAATTACTTTCGTGGGTGCAGTAAATAAAGCCCAGTTAAAGGTGCCATTATTATAAACACGGGTAGCATATACGTGTTTATGTGTAGATTATTTCAGGTCCTATACAGTGATATGCATGTATAGCAAGGGAAAAGAAACAATGAAGTAACACATTAATTTCATCAAGACCTCGAGAAAGTATCATCACTAGACAAATCGAAGGGACTCCAGTTACCAAACAATAGATTAGGATCTTGAGTCTCAGGTCCAAGCACTGGCTGTTGAGACATTTCCAGGGAACAATAGATTAGGATCTTGAGTCTCAGGCCCAAGCACTGGCTGTTGAGACATTTCCAGGTTATGATTTCCCATCAGGTGAGAATTCGACCAAAGTATCTCTTGAGAGGCTGTGTCTTGCCCTGGCAACGGTGGCAAGTTGAAGCTGCTTGTATCATTACCTGTACATTGTTGAGTCCTATCTTGGTGATCTTGATGCTTGTGTGCTGAGTCTAAACTATAGTAGTACATCAAGTGGTCATTGTCTTTCAAAGGAGCTTTCGTCGAGAAGTCGGAGATAGTGAGGCATCCAGCAAGACCATTTTCTTCTGACAACTGAGAACTTGGTTCCAAACTTGTGTTCGAGATGTTAGTGAATATTAGAGAGGGATCAAACTCACTGGTAAATTCTGGCTCTTCATAACCACTCTTGGAATCTTGCTGTGGATTCAGGAACTTTGCATAAACAAGTGCAAGATCAATATGAGAACCATCAGGAAACATTGGCGAGCTAGAGGACTCTATGGAGGCATTTCCTTTATGGCTATGTGGATGCCTAATAGAGTTATTAGGCAAGCCTTCACAACCGAAACTCGTAGAGTGGTCATTAGAAGATAGCCTCACTGACTTTCCTCTTCTATTCTTCCTGCACCCGCCACCTACAGGCACATTTCGTAGGGATCCTCCTTTAGTCCAATACCTTCTACAACCCTTGCAAAAGTATCTCGGTTGAGTTAAGCTGTAGTTGTTGTAGTAACAAAATTTAGTATTTGAGGAACCACACCGAGGACAACTTGGTGATATCTCAGAATTTCCCTTCCATCCTGTCTCCATACCAGATCGCTTCAAACTTCATAGGCTTGTAATAAAACTGCCTGACCGCTCACTGGTTCTCTCTTTTGTAGAGTTTGGAAGCAATTAATTCAGAACGCAGAAACTAGAGTAATTATAATCATGAATTATTGGAAACGTGTGTGTACCCCAAGAGCAAGAATGCAGGCTCACGTTTGTTTCAGGTGCACGACTGTTTAGGAATTAATGGAAGTCTTGGAAATGTGTATGCGCCCATGCACATGAGACAGGCAGGTTTAGGGGTTCCGGTGCCGTGAAGGACGATTTGGGTGGTATGTAACAGCCCCGTAGGCTAATACTCAGTGTCGCTGTTTGTTACATGTGGCAGAATTGTACTGGAGGGAATGAAGGTGGTAGAGGAAGCAAATGCCTCGAGGGACGGACTTACATTTCTTACAGGAGCAGACATCCTTCATTAAAAAAACACCAACTTGGCAAACTGACGCTCGGAAGTGTTTCTCCACCGTCTAATCTTGTACATGTTAATGCCCTCCTCTCAAGTATAACCTCACCTTGTAAGTAGGGATATTCACATATTTCATAGAAAAGAGCTGTGTGTAAAAGGCTGGATTTTTCCCTTTTCTATTTAGCCCATCCCCTGCATGAGCTGGATCTAATTCTATATATATTAGCTTTTATTTTGTTTGTTACATAACCCTATAATTACTTTGGCAATCTACGCCAAATGACTTCTACATTCATAGCATAAAATAAAATAGCACCCGCTAGGCATACATGTAACCCTTTTCGTACGATAATTAATTCATGTCACTCGGTCGAAATTAACAAGTAAAATCTGAACTGAGAGATGGACAATAAGAATCAATCCTGGAGCCAAAAGGTGCTTTCTTATCTTCCCCTATCATATATTTTCTCAAATAATTATTCATTTTCTTTCAGAAAAAAAAACCTTTAGTTCTTGCAGCAAAAATTATAAAATAAAATTATTTGAGAGTTCATAAGATTTTGTTAGATAAATTTAAAATTATTTGAGGATTTATTAACTGAAAATTTAAATTTTCTCAACTTTAAATAATTCTTTAAATGTTGAATTATCATAAACCAAAAGTCGTTTAATTGTTCGTCCTCTAATAGTAATCCACACGAATCACCAATGAAAAATCTCTTAAATCTCTATTTAAAAAAGATAAATTAATATGTTTAGAGTGCTAGCTCTAATTTTATATTTGCATATTTTTTTCTAGCTAAAAAAAAAAAACCTCTAAAGACATAGCTTTCTATTTATAAAAAAATACGAAAAACTGTTTAAATTGGCAAAATATTAATTTTTCATCTGAATAATATCCATATATTAATTCAGGATAATTTTAGAAATTAACTCAATCAAGTCCTTACTTGATTTTTTTAATTTTATAAATATAATTTATATATTAATTATATTATAGTTCTTGATTTTTAAAGAATATATTTTAATAAAATCATACTTAATTAAATCATCCTAGATTAATTCCTGACAAACGATTCTTAATGTGTGGGACCCATTAGGTTCTTAATATAAATTATAATTATAATTAAATACAATTAAATAATTTAAATAGTTTAATTTATTATCAATTAAATAATTGATTAATTTATAATTAAAGATTAGGTATATTGTTTAGCAACGTAAAATGATCCTCAAATATTAGAAAAGTTATTAGTGGTTTGATTTAACATTTTAGTGATCGGTTTCTCATTATAATTAATTTTCTTAATTTCATCAATAATGCTCTGATTTAATATTAAAATATAAAGAATGTCAGTCATGTTAAATTATGTTTGTTCTCTATTTAATAGTCATTGATCATTTGAATAAGATTTAAAACTCTTTTCACATTTCATTTCACATTAATCAAGAATTTCACAATCAATATTATTTGAGAACAAAGAAAATATATATTTTTTTAATTTATCTAAGGTAATGAATCATCTCGTAATTATTCAAGTAGTTTTATATAATTCATGTTATACTCAATACATGTTATTTTGTTATCTTTATTAAGATAACATGTAATATGATCAAAGTATAATGTTTTTATATAAGATAACTTAGTGATCTCAAGTCTAAGAATCACTTATATAACTATCAAGTGAGTCTTTCTATAGATATAAGTGATCTTTTTATATGAAATTCTCGTGTATATTAGTTCAGTGTACATGCATATTTTATAACAAGAATCTACATATTAATTCTAAATATAATTTATACCTCAACTTATAAGAACATTTGCTTCCTTTCATAAAAAAAAAAACGTGAAATATATTACTCTTTATAACTCTAATGAATGTTTAATATTTAAAAGAGTATCAATTAGGAACATTTTAGGAACTATACTTTGATATAATAAAAATTATATAATTATAATAACTTTATAATTTTATTGGCAAAGTATTTTTTTTATCATAAACTTTATTTTTACTTCAGATTTATTAATTTAATATTATATAAAAATTAAAAATAAATTAAGTTTATATATATATATTAACCAACTAATTAATACAAAACTATTAAACTACCAAAAATATCACACGAGAGTAGCATACGCTCAGTGAGGTTGTGTGTCATGAAGGAGGAATGTCTAGTAGGAGATACTAGTTATATTTAGTAAGTTGAAAAGGATCTCTTGGATCATGTGCTCCTCGGATCATGTAAACCTTGTAGATTTCATAAAAACTATATTTTTAGTCAGAAATCCAAGGATTTTAGCATATGACGTTACAGGTATGCTACTTGAGACCCGGGACACCAGAAATTTATCAAATTTGAAATCTAATGAATTTGCAACCAAAATCAGAAGCTGTAAATGCTACAGTAGCATCATAGCTGTTAACTTGTGCTTAACCGAAATACTAAATTAAGAAATTCATTTTATATCTTAATATGCTTTAAGCTTCCATGGATGTACAGTTTTTCTTTAAAAATAAAGGTTGTTTAATGGACAGAAACACAATTTGGAAAGCAACTCGTTGAATGGAAAAGACTGAAGAAGAATTTTGAAGATGGGACACTGATAGGGTGAAAGAAATGTTGATTAAGCAGGCTGCAAGGTGGTGGAATCTTTAGATCAGTAGGAACTAGCAAGATAAGCAGAATCTACAACTGCGAAGACCCAGGGAAAGGCGTAAAGCACGATTAGCTGTAGGGAGTCTTAACACTGGAAATTAAGGTTCATCAGAGGATCAAATTATTAATATCAATTAGCAGTGACATTAGAAGATTAAACAATAACGCAAGATGATTTACTCGTCTTTTTTTCTTTTCTTTATAACTCTGCCTTCTGTTTCTCTTTGCCTTTCCTAAATTAATATGCATTTTTACTTGCAAACTCCAGTGTTCCAAAGATCCAGATTCCGGTTTTTAAGTAATATTTACTACACTCAAAGCTCGTTTAACGTCCTTGAGATGTCTGCTCCCTAAACTTAAAGATTTCAGAGATAAAACAATAAGAGCTGGATTTAGTTTTGCTTTTGTCCAGAATCTAAACCCTGTTCTTCTCAAAACTATACTAATTAACTTATCAGGCCGTAGTCCAGTTTATACATGTGTCGTTGATATTATTCGAAATTTATGAGCAACTCTTCTAGTTGGTGGCCATTTGTGGTCATGAGGAAAAGGATTTCAAATAATTCTTTATCCGTGGGTGCAAGTACTATGATGAAAAAGGGCAAAGAAGCGAACTCAGTCATAGTGCCTACAGACCATGTGGCTTTAACTACTGGTAAGTCTTACTACGGACAAACCATTAAGAGAGGCCAGGCATCAGGGATTACAATGTCGGAAGTGCTCTCAATCCTTGTTGCAAGATTTGTTGCAAGATTAGAGGATGTTTAAGAGCGCACGTTAAAGGTTCATGGTGGCTGCGCAGTGATAGCAGCCACCGTGCGCTTTTTTATAATGTTTTTTTTTTTAAATGGTAAAGTAGATAAACAAAAACTGAAAGTGGCTTTACATCCACGGGGCAAGGGAACAGGGATGAACTTGTTAACTAAGTGAGCACAGTCCCAAACTAGCAGGATATTCAGATTGCTAAATCAAATACAAGCTAGAAAATCAATACACTGGTTGCCGTCCCTTATGCAGAAAGTCCGTGTGCAATAGAGGAAAAAAGTCATGAATGAAAGAGAGATGGAGGTGGCACGTATCAGTGTCACTAGATATGCATCGAATACCTTCCTCCACTGAATCTAACTTGATCTAGAAACCAACATCCCAGATGCCTAGACAGAGATAGCCCTGCCCATTTGAAGTTATCCCTAGCAGACTGAGAAGACCCTGAATCCAGATTTCCTTACGATCTCTTACCAAACCTCCCACCCCAGCATGCCTTAGTTTCACTGACAAGCAGCACCTTTAAGAGGAGGACTCCATGAAACTAAATGAGGTTGCAGCAAAATCCTATTCCCTAAGTATTAAAGAGGGTATCATTATAATCCTTGTTGGATTTGGGCTATTTGAGGGACTATACTTTTTCTTTCTTTCTTTTCCTTGAACAGCCTCCGTAAGCTAGTCCATATTTTCTCCTTTGTCACTAGGTAGGGAAATACAATGTTAGGAATGAGCGCAATGATACTCTTTTTTTGTCATTAGAGAATCCCCAAGTTTCATTATCTATCAAAGTAGAGCATTCCTCTTAAATTGTCTACATGTGTGACAGGAATACCCATTAAGCTACTATACACATTCTAGTGTTTATAACCATGTTATGCAATATAGGATTACCACCTACCAAGTCTGATGGCTTGTTAGGCTAATCAAAGAGCCTGAGATTTCGTAAGGATTCAACAATTATTACGAAGACACTTTAGAAAATTTAAAGGGGAAACATCATATAGAAGCTATATTGTGCATGCCTAATTAGCTCACAAACTATATAACTTGATCGCTCAGTGAAAGCATCTAAATTCCTGAAATATATTTTGCATTGGAAAAAGTATGCAATCATTAACTTTGCACATAAAAAATGATTTAGCAGATAAAAATACATATATGTTACATTTGCTCTTTGATAAGGTAACACATTAATCCTGTTT